GGAAATTTATGTGCATGCAAAAGCATCAGTCTCGAATCTTTATAAATCTTTAGTCCATATAGGGAATTATCTAAAGTTAACTCCAAAGACTTCTCTACATTCATTACAAAAAGATGTAAAACACTGTAAAAACAATGGTGTTAATGTAAAGACAGGGTCAGGTCTTCCTTTTTTCACTTAAAGAGTTCAATGGAACAACTTCAACAAATTTCTTTCATTGGCCACTTGACAAAATCAAGCAAAAGGGGAAAATAAAATAAAAGGGAGACATACATTCTATCCCTTTTCAACACACCTTCAGGTAGGTAAAAAGTCACCCTTGAACTTCTACCTTGACCAAAAAGTATTAATTTCCCCTTTAAGCCAAAAGCCACAGTAGAAAAGAAACAAAACTGCTGTGCTGTCATTGGAAATGATGGCTTATAGAAACCTTGACTTTGTTTTATAAAAATCACCTGTTTTTTAAAACCCCAAAGAACACCACCATCAGTATTTCTATTGACAAGAATGTTCCTAAATGCCTTATCAGGGTGATACAATTTTCCACCTGTCTGCTGGAATTTGCTTTGCATAAAGATCTGGATGCATGCAAGAATGTGTGTTTTTCTTTTTCTGCCATACTACTAAGAAAGTAACTCAGGATCCCAGAGCAGTCTTTTGCTGCAACTAATCCCTCTGGATTTGGCCTAGCCTTTCAGGCTGCACTTCCTGTCTGAACCTGCCTATGTGGTCGAAAAACAGAATGAAAAAAAAAAAAAATCCCACAAAAATTTGGCAAGAAGCCATTTAACAAAAAATACCAAAACATTTGCTATGCAGGTTGAACTTCAAAGAACTGCTAAAAAAAAACCCACCCAAAAAACAACAGTGCAGAATCTGAGTTATTCCTTGGCTTCATCATACAGTGTAAGGGTCTTTTCTAGGATCAGGTTTGAGCCCTTAATAGTGGGAAACCCCAACCTCTTCACAGCATTGGGAAGAAACTGAAGGGTTTGTATCATCAGAGCTAAAACAATTTCACTGAAGCAGAGATTGGGGTTTGATTATTTTCCCTTAAGAGCAAGAATTGATTTAAAAATCCATAAAATAAAAAAATATTTATTTCTTAGTTTAAATCACGAGTAAGTTATTTCAAAAAATTCTTCACATTATCTATTTAAATACCAAAGTAGTGACTAAAAGATTTGAGTACCACATTTAGTAAGAACACAATTAAGAACAATATCCAGGACAAACTGACCATCTCTTCCATGAAATGGAAAACTTAATGTTTGCAAATTTCAGCTGATTCAGAGGACTCATCATCTGTACACATGGGCAGCAGTGTAACAAAGGATGCATGAACCTAAGGTTCTTGTCTCCTATATTAGCTTCATAATGTTGTAACTGACAAATGCAAAGTCTTCAAAGTGCTGAGCAGATTATTACCTCTATAGGTCATATGCTGTGTTTAGTTAAGTAGGCCTCATATACAAGTGATCAAATGACTGTCACTTTGTGAGCACTCTTGTAAAGTACTCTTGCATGATGGAGAGGCCAGCAGATCTCATGATCTACTCATGTGCACTGACCTGGCAAACCTTGCCACAACATGGCTAACTTCCCAACCCCCTCAAAAAGCAATACAAGTGCCTCAGAAGTTATTAACATCCATGAGATGTGAACTTAAGATTGGTGCGTCAGCAGTAAAGGTGAGGGGTTTTTTTTTTTGTTTGGGTTTTTTGGGGGGGGTTGGTTGGTTTGGGATTTGTTTTGTTTTGTTTAAATAGTATGCCAAGGCATGCTTCTGCTTCCTAAATGGGGCATTTGAAGTCTGGAACATTCTATTTAGCTCTCATGGCAGCATAGTTCTTCCTTCACTATTCTTTGGAAAAAGCAGATGTAGGTTTTCCTGACCTTTTTTGTTTTTCATGATAGAAAGGAAAACAGTTCTTCTTGCCATGTTCCAAAGTTTTGTAAGCTTACAGAAGTGTTTATAAATAGAACTATTTTGATTACATTGTCTTAAGAGCAGGAAACATGTAATATTGCTGCAGGTAATACAAGAAGGTAGCAGAAAAAGCAGGCTGGTGAATATGAGAAAATCTGACCAGCATTGCTTCGTGCCACAGCAAACACCCAGTGCCTATACCACTTTTTATCATGGACACTGAGGCAGGATTAGAAAAAGAGTGCTTAAACAGACTATTTAACCCTCACTGACAGTGAGTGGAGCAACCCAGAAAGTTCCCATTCTTTCACTACCTATGCCCTCCAAACCATCTCCCTTCCATGCCATGAAATGCCACTTAAACATTTCTTTCCTTCCCAGTGATTTACTCTTTTGTAGATAAACTTAATCCTCCCCAGTGTCTCCCATATTCTTTTTTTGTGAAAACTTGTACCCACTACAAACTGAAGTCTTGCAAGAAAGACATACTAAAAGGAATTCAGATTTGGTGTTTTAAAAGGTAACAGCTCTCTTGACCCTTACCTTGTCTTCAGAGGGATATAAGTTCACTAGACACTGCATCAGCAGATATTTCTCAACAAGTTTCTCACAGTTTTAAGATCAAAGCACTCCTCAGAAAAATAGCCAATAACAGTAGCAAAAAAGTATGATACTAATGTATTCTATGTTGCATAGTATTCATAAATATATGTTTTATACCATTATCTCTTATATAAGAGGAGTATGAAACAACTGCATATTTTGCTTCACTTTCAAAGATAGTGAGAATTCTCCATTTTGCAGAAGTCCTTCTGTCTGATGAAATAAGATATTTCCTGCAATCGCTGAAGGACTGAGGTCTGCCAGAGAGGTTCGTTTTGCTTGCATCATCTTACAGTAACAGTCCACCAAGGTATAAGTTGGTCAGCATAGTATCTGGAACCTGCAGCTGAATTTTAAAGCCAGAGCATACTGTGGCAAAGTATTACAAAGCTATTTACAGTGACTCTAAGGCAAAGATCAGATCATAGTTTTGGCACAGAAGAAAATTCAACCTTCAGCTTTCTTCATGTTTGCCAATACCACCTTTATCTTGTCTAGCATAATTATTCGCTTGACAAGACTTTATTTATTCATTTTAAGAAAGAAGATAATAGCCTTTAATTACTACAGCAGACTAAAGAGGAAAAAAAAAGATAATTCCTTAAATCACATCTTAAAAAAAATAACAAACAAAAAAAATAAACCAACCCCAAAACAAAAACAAAAAACTTTTCCAAATGTACTCTTATTAAACTATTCCTCAACTTTTTTACTGACATTTTATCCTTTCTCTGGAAATTCTCTGTTTTTCTGAAATACCTACAATACAAATTCTAGATATAAATTTAATAAGCAGGTAATATATACCTTCACAAATGTATACATGTGTTCAGTACTAGATTCATATATATATTCTATATCACGGGACACATACATTCCATGTATAGTTGGATAAATAATAAACTAGTTGAGAAGACAGTACTAAAGAGGAAAATTACACCTTGAAATCTGACTGGGTGATTATATTTAGACTCTGAAAGACCCACTGAAGGGGGAATCATCTGCTTTACTAAGTAAACCCCTGGAATAAACACTGGATGTACAGTATTAGTCTGTAACCTAGCAAATTGCTGCAATGTAGGACACTGTGGATTACAAATGTGCATTAAATAACATATTGTTACAGAGTTTTTCCCCCCCTTAGGATGCACTCAACACTTTCCTCCTTCCTGTCTGACAATATGTTGCCATGCTATAAAAGCCCTAATGCCCATTTCAACGATTAGCTGTACATCAGCATTACTACTTCAAATCCACAAGTTTCGCATCAAGCATTAAATGGGATGAATATTGATCTGCTAAAGAGGATTTATTTATTTCTTGCTCTATCCAAAGATCAACTACTAGCAGCTTTTGGTGGATCTGTTGAGCTCTTACAGCACAAAGCTACTGCATACATGACACCGGACTTGACATTTCAGTTCTGGAAGAAAACCAAACAGTAAATTCACTGCAATAATCCTAGATAAATGAGATGATCACTGGAAAAGCTGAGATAGTTAAGTGGTCTATCAGAAAAGTCCAAAGGATGATATTGAACTGCTGCTACATAGTAACCTCTCTCATGACAACATGGCACAAGATCACCATATCAGATGCCAATATCATTGTCTTAAACAAAAGCACCATGTCTTCAGATTATCTTGGAACACTTCACAATTATGTTCTGAGCTGAAAACTGTATACTCAATATAAGTACAATCAGATACATATCATTATCACAATATTTACCCATCGATTCCTGTTTTGTTCTGTTCAGTCAGTAACACACTAATAACTATATAAGGCATTCAAGAAATAGATACGTATTTCAGTCCTCCCAGCACAGCTAGTAGGTTTCTTGTAATGTTAGAACTGTCCTTGAAATGTTCTTTTTAGTATATTTTGGTACGGATCACTTTCTACTCTTTGGCACTGATATAGTAGAAAAGCATACAAATGAGTTGATGAGGACTGCAAGCAGATTTAGAGATGAACCAGTGAGTTGCTTTGCCTTTTATACTCAAATGGCAAGGGCACAAGGGAGTGCTATGTTTTCACTAACTGATAGGGAGCATTTGAAATGCCAGTGTAAGAAGCCATGAAATTTTTGCTGTGCCACTTATACAGGAAACCGAAAAAGTCAGTCAAAACATTGCCTCAGTGCTATGATTTCATCAAGCTGTATCATTCCAGTAGCTAATAATGTCGTCCTAGTCATCTGCTAAATGTTTCATTTTTATTTATCTGACTTCATCAACTTGCCTTTCTGAGAGCATATCATTTACAGAACACATGGAAAAGAAATAAAACCAGTGCCATACAATAGGGATATTTGCTACCATTAAACATTGCCTCATTTTTTGATTCTTCTAAGATCACAGTTCTTAAAAAATAAAAGAAAGGAGAAAAACAAAAAGAAAAAAACAGGAAAAAAGCAGCAGCATGTTATCAGGAACAGATCTGAAAGCTGAAAACCAATGCTTTGTTTTGGTTGCTTGAACTCTATGAATTTCTAAACGGCCTTGCCACAGGTAGCACTCAGTTTAATTAGGTTTTTATCTGTAGAACAGTGTCTGCTTTGCCAAGGCTTGAGGACTTTGGGCCAGTTCCAAGTGTCAGTGAGAAAGAAACAAAATGTGTTTCAACATTAGCCCTGCATTTAGACAAACACAAACCACCTCTCTTTTTTGTTTTTTTTCTTTATATAGATTCCATTTCATCTGTGTATAAAATAAACCATGCTTGTGAAGACAGTGGTGGTGAGATACGTCCATATGTATTTCAAACATAGAAGCTTGTATTATTTATAAACCATCCTAAATAAAACAACCCAAAACAAGTCTGAAAAGGTAATCTGAAATCTGTTCTGGATGATCTCTGCCTCGTTCAATCTCTTTAATGGGACATTACACAAAGTTTTCTCTTCCAATAGACTGTGAAAAAAGAACAAAATGAAACAGTATAACCGTGAGTAAATAATGACAGGAGAGACCATTTTATGTTGCCCAATGTTTTCAGGGTATCTATATCTGGAACACATGAAACGATAGCACATTCATATCTCCTGAGAAGCAAGAATCATTTTCCTGTCTTTTGTATTCTCATAACATGGCTGTCTATAAACTGCCTTCTAGGAACAGCGTCTAAATTTGCAATGTAATTTGGTAAAAAGTTAATCCAAGTCACTAATTCTTTCCTTTTTTCCCACTACTAAATATAAAAATAATGGAATGTAATGTAAAAAAAACTTACATAAAAGGATAATGTCTATAAACTTTTCTATAGTTTCTTGGGAGTGGCTTTCACAAGGAAACAAAATCAAAGAAACAAAAATATTTGCTTAATTCTAGTTCAGTATTTAATACTTCTACCTAACAATAACTCCTTTCTTCACAAACACTCTGTAACACAGGTCAGTCTGAAACAGACTGCAATGCCTGTGGTTTGAATATAACAGCAAAATTTCAGACATGGTGAAAACCCGTATTCTACCTTTTATCCTCCCCGTGTCTTTTTCACATCCTTATGGTCATTTCTGCCTCTGCAACTTACTTTATTATTCTTTTATATTAAAAAAAAAACTAAACTCTTTTTTCTTCCTGCGCTTCCCCCTCCCCCTTTGCCCCAAATTCCTAAAATGTTGAAAAAATAGTCACTTTTTAAAAATTATTTTATGGTGAGTTTGAAATCCTTTTTTTTTTTTTGTCTTTTTTCTCTCTCCAGGCTTGTTCATCTTTAGAGCACATCTAATCTGTATGTAATGAAAAGCAAAGATGCCATAAATAGAGACACTGGTCATCACTGCAATAATCACAGTCAAGGGTATGATCAAAGGCTGTCCTGCAGAGCTTCCACCAAGTAATGTGAGAAAGAATAGCAGTAAGCAATTCATAACAGCGTAACTTCCTGAGGCAGCAGCATCTCTCCAATGTGCTATATTATCATTTAAATCACAGATACTTTCACAGGTCATATTTCCACACAAATTAACATTTTACCACCTAGTGCATGCATTCATGTTTCTCTTTTGGGACAAAACACCAGTTTATCTAACTCTACAGGTACATTAGGAAGTTTGTGAAAAATCAGTTTGTCCTGTCCCCCACCACTAAAGAACTCAGGTTTTTAGGAATGATCACAACCCAAACAGGGCTATATGATGCACTCCATGTACTACATGCACCATGTGAAATACAGATGAAGATTTTGTTTTCTTTTAGGTATTGTTTTAGAAGTCACAAATTCTAATACTACCTAACAAAACTCCTAGCCGCATAAAAAGATGCAATAAACCTCTCTAACAGTAGCTGATTTGTATGCAACATTGACCATAAGGGTAACTCTTCAGTAAACCTGAATCTCATATATAATGCATAGCAGTTAATAAATCATAGTAAAATCAGGTGGCTTAGAGCCAACAATACCCAACTCGTAATGGAAAGGGGGGAAAGATTTATAGAGAGACAGAGTCTGTCTGGATTTTGCTTTTAAGAGGCTCACACAGTGCAGTGGGAAGATCTTGCTGTGGTTTCCAAGCAGACACATCTGTGTCATGCTGACTCAGTCCTTCCCCCAGCATTGCCCCTCACTTACCCATGGTGATGTCTCTTCTCTCCAAAAGCTTCCTTCTTTGACCATCTGTGGTTTCTTGTCTATCTGCTCCCCAGCATACGAGCTGGAAAGGAGAGAGATCACGATGAGATCAGAGTATTGTTCTGAAATTTCACAAAAACACCCCACACTAGATTTCAAACTTAAAGAGGAATACTTGAAATGAGCCTGTTGAAACTGGTTTCTCAACCCTCAAAAAGCCATGCTACAAAGTATTCAAAGTGCCACATATTTCCCAGCTTTAAAATCCCATTTCATAAAAGGGAGAAAACGTACTTCAGTGTTTATAATGGGAAGAATGGGGTTTTTTTGCTTTAAGTAGCAAGGGCAAAAAAATCTTCTCAGTTCTTATTGGAGATCCAGGAGAGCAGGATATTATAAGGATCTGGGATCTGCATGGATCTGAGAAAATATTTATTTTTTCAAAAAAAAAAAAAAGCCTTTTCACAGCAATCAGAGACCCTTATCCAAGCAAAAATATTAGTGCAAGATTAACACACAGCACCGCCAAGTGAAGCATACTTGCAGCTTCATCAGTAGTGTGATGTTAGTTACACATGTATAAAAGCCAGAGAATATACTTATTTCTTAAGAATCACATTCTGATTCTTAAACTGATTCTGATCCACAAAACTAATGCCGAAGTTACTTAGTTTTCAGGTACCTTCATGTATGTCATTCACTTTGACTAAGGGGAAAACACTTCTCTTTTTGGCTCAGTTATACCAAGTTTATGGTTGTCATTGCTGAGAGCACGCTGGCGGCTCAGGATTTGGCTTGGGAAAACTGCAGCAGAGTTTCTAAATCAAACTTAAACTCAATTCCACTTCCACACCCTAAAAAAGCAAACAACAAAACGTGTCTATTTATGCCAGGTTTTCTTCCTTTCTTTTTTGGTATTATAAATACCTGAGTGTCACACCAATACTACTCGACAAAAAGTTTTGAAAATCAAAAGCAAAGTAGAATTTGGAAATCCAACACACAAATAAACCAGGACCACCCTACCAAAATGAAAATATAATTAACAGAGCCGTGCGGATTCGCCCTCTGCACAGAGGATAAGCCTTTAACAGGTACTTTTAGGGAGCGACCGCTCTTTGCCCACGCCGCCCTGAGCCAGCCCTCCCCGCGGCATAGCTCCGCTTCTGCCGTACGGCTGGGGCGGCGGGGTAAAGCCGATTTCTCCGCTTCCAACCCACTGAGAGGACGGGGACCCGGGCGACCATTAGGGCCCGGCTGGCCGGGGGGGCCGGGCCTGGGCAAGGCCGTCACGGAGGCCGGCCCGCCGGCAGGTGGGCGCCCCCCTCGGGGCGTAGCTATGGGAGGCCGCGCCGGAACTCGAGCACCCCGCTCGCTCGCTCGCTCTCTCTCAAGTTTCGGCGGCTACTGACTCCCGTCCCCTCCGGAGCGGCGGTGCCCCCCGGGGCACAGCCCGGCCCATGGCGCTAGATGGCAGCACCCGCTTGCGGAATGTCGGGAAATGGCACCCGCCGCGGGCAGGGCCGGGCAAGTTGGCCTTAGGGAAGAGGGCGGCCAGTGCCCCGGCCGCGGGGGCCCCGGCCCCTGACACACAGCCCGGGCTTCAGAAGCGAGCTTTAAACTTCATCTCCGGCGCACAAGATACAACATGCGGTTGTAACAACACCCCAAGTAAGCATGGGGGTACACAAAGAAAATAATAACAAAAAATACCCCCCCCCCAAAAAAAAAAAAACACACTCAGACTAGGAACAAAATCACCTCGGGACAATTGACAGAAATAACGTGAAGTCTACTATTTCAGCAGAAGATAAATATTTAAGTATAGCCTACTGCCAGGGAAGGGGATGGGATTTTTTCCATTGACCTCTGTAGCAGCAGGACTGAGTTCAAAGAGTGGAGTAATACATTTCTCACAGCTTTCCTCTTGTGCTAGCTTATTTTTTACAAAACAGTTTCTTTCTTTTCCTTTACAGGACAAATTACTTGCAACTTATTTGCTGTGTCAAATGGCAGTAATGATAAGTCCTTCAAACTGATGGCTAAAAGCCAGTCTCAATAGTATTTATTTAGGGATAAAAATAAGAAAATAAGACCTCTTAACATGTAACTCCAGTTTTTTCACTTTTTGTGTGTAGTTTAGTCCATTTTGCAGATTTTTGATGACATAGGGCAATAGCACAGTTACAGATTTACAGAGCTTTCCATCTCTGCACTGCTTTGAGAAGGGTACAAAGTTAATTCACATGAAATAACCTGTATGTAAAACTGCCTTGCAAACAAATGGGCAAGCAACTTGTGAACTACCACCTAAGAAACTTTTGGCTGCTGCCACCCTGTCCTTCTGGGGCTTGTCTGAGCACCAATCCAGCTGATTACCCCACAACAGCTCTCCCAACATACCACCCCCTGCAAAACCAGCTATGGGCAGAATCCACTCATGTTTATTACTTTGCCTCCAGAAGATGGCCATGGGAATCCTATCTCATGCAGGTGCAACTCACCCAGGTGCTGTTAGAAGGGAAGGACAAGTGGGAAGGCAACCACCCAGAAGGCAACACCCATGCACTGCCACTGCGAGGAATGCATCAGTGGAAAGAACTTGTGATTTTCAATCCTCCCTACTTCATCAAATCGGAAACAACGAGGCCCCAGAGGAAGTACAAGCACAGAGTATGCTAATGAATGAAAGCAAGACAATCATAGCAAGGTTTTTCGTGTATCGACACAAGCATCAGATTATGTTTTTTGGCAAGAAATGTAAAGCTACGAACGATACTCCACACTGTCTTTACAAATAGCCAAGAAAGTGTTATTTCAGAATTCATAGTCAGACTTGGTTATATTTTGCAAGGAATGGTCTGCTGGCAGACTCTGAGGATCTACAGTCTGTACAGTGTCTCGGTCTGCGGTTTGATTCTATAGCTCTTAGCCAGAATATTCCACTGTCAATCAATCCTAACCAGAAAAAGATACTGCTCTGGCGATTAAGTAAAAACAATAACACATATGAACTAAGAAGATCAGATGAAATGGATAGCAGAAAGTATAAAAAACGCAGGTCAATGAAGCAATAAATGGTTAGAGAAGTATAAATAATAAACATCTTTTCTGTCATCAAGATCCCCACACTGGAACAGAAAAGAACAAAAATTCTAAATCTCTTTTCACCAAAATTCCAGTTAAAATATTATTTTGCTGCGCAGAAGGGGGAAAAGAAATAACAGCCTGCCTCAGTCCTGCTGCCTCAGCTTCTGAAAGAGAGTTACATGCTTCATGTTCAAGAGTGCTGATGACACTACATGGGTGCAGCCTGTCTGAAATGCATTTAATTGCTGTTTAATCCCCATTTATCACTAATGGATGAGACTCAAAGAGGAAGTGGGGGTCCCTAAAATCCATATTGTTTTCTTCTAGTATTTCTGAAGTCCTTGATAGGCCATGTGTAGAGTGTCAAACAAATATAAAAAATGCAACTGGAAAATAGTACATTAAGCTTTTGTATTAACTCTCATTTGGTAATGGTTTGTAATATGGGCTGTTTGAAATACTGGTACAAACTCAGCAAAAGATGATGCAAGATTAAATAAAGAGGGTCAGAAGTTTGGGGAGAAGCACTGAACAGTAGCAAAGGAGCACAGCAGCTGTTACACAGTGCACAGCAACGCCACAGAATAGTTTATGACAGGAAGTGCAGAAAATTCCACAATTCACCTGAAGCTACAGTGGGAATTATGTAGGCAAAATATAGTTATTAAAACTGGAATGTAACCAAGACTTCAGGGGCTAATAACCCTTTTTTTTTGCAAGAGATAGCAAAAAACTCCCCAAGCATCTTTGTTGACCACAAACTACAAGACCACAGCTTAACATCTCAATAGAAAGACACGGATTTTTCCATATGAATTGTCACAAGAACGTGATCTTTCTGGGAGATGATTTCCTGGCCAACAATCTCCATTTCCTTCTATAAACTGCAAAAAGCGTTAGTGATTTTGGGATTAATATATATATATTATACATATATACACATACACACACACCCCTTTTTTATATATATACATATATATACGTGTGTGTGTATAAAAAAGAATCCTCTTTACAGCTATTTCCAATGGTTAAAAAAATATGGCCAGTCTTGAACTGGAATTTGACAGTAGCAAAGTGAATACATTTACTCATTGTCGTATCCTTTACATTTCTTCATGTTAAAACGTCATTATTTCTTGCCTAAAACTTTACTCAGTTTGAAAGGCCAAATATTCACTTCAATGAAGAATTAAAGTACCTGACAGAAAAATCAGACTACGCAGAGCATGTAGTGTTATGTCTGCATTTATAAAACACATACAGATCATGCACAAATATTTAGGAATATAAGTGCGCAGGCTGTGAAAGTACGTGTGTATTAGGACCATAAATACTCCTGAGAGTGGAACACATATGTGTATGCAGTGTGTATTTCTGTATGCAAATATGACTACAGTACAGAAATATGGATAAGCGTTGTGTGTATTGTTCATTTAAGGTTCTTTAGTGCAGTTTAAAAGATTCTTTTGCGATGAAATTTGAGACGCATGTGTTTCAATGAAAACTGTGTAGAAGAAAGCTATCCAGCTCATCCCAGGATTAAGCAGGTAACGAGTGCTACTCCAATTTATCAGACCTGTTGCATGCAATTATACATGCCAGAGAAAAATAATTTTTTGCAGATGTTTATTTAAAAATCAAACTTCTTGTGTTTTGCTGCATTCAAAGATACATTTCTTTTGCAGAGACAGAAAGCAGCTGCAAAACAGTATCGATTGCCATTACATCTTGCCACATGAAGAAACATGCAAGAGGCATTCTCATGGTAAAAATGCAGTCACCTTTAAAAATGGCAACTCCTCCTCTGGATGCATGCTGGTATCAATAAAATCAGGTAGCTTAGAAAGTTCAGTTAAATTGTACCTATAGTTAGATCTGCTAAAGGAGCAGACACAATATTTTTCCCTTCTTTAAATGTAGTATGGTGAATGCTGAATATGTTAGAAGATAATTACTTGGAATGTAAAATTCAGTGTTTTAAGTAAGAAAATGCCACATTTAGAACTGCCAGCCAGTTCAACTCCTTCTTTTTAAGCACACACACATATACATATACACACAGGCTACTATATAGTCTTTAATTACACAAGAATCTTCATTTTCTCTGCCTTATTCAGTGCTTTGAGTGAGAGCACCGCCTAATGCAATTGATGCTGGATAAACAGATGCAATGTTCCAAGTGTTTCACTTTTCAAACAAAAAGGTTTTCTTTTCTCCTCAAGGAGAATTTTTATTTAAGATACATGCTGAGTAAATATATAAATACTGGGACTACCTCACTGTATCCTCCCTCCTCATAAATTTCTTGCCTTAAATTGTTCTTTTGAAGATCACACTAGGTCCACAATCCTGAGTAGAGTTTGGAAGTACACATAAATGGAGCTGCTGCAGTCTGTGTCAAACTCTGGTATCTGCAGTTCTTGTCTGTGTCAGACCTGCCAGGTACACACCAATGCACACACACTGCCTTCACCTGGGAGTAATGTGGCCTCATTAGCTTATGCTACTAGCACCCTGCCTCTAGGACTGGCTTGGCTATCTTAAATACAACTCTAAGTCTGGAGGTGGTTTGTAGCTTACAGCACTGGCTGAAGGAGCTCATGCTCACCCTTCCATACTGCTGGTCTTAACAGGAGAGCTGCTACCAGAAGATGCAATTACAGGCTTGTTTACGAATACACAAGAGAGCATTTGCCCACAGGAATCTCTTTGAGAATTTGCCCTTTAGGTACAATTACTGAATTTGCCCCCCAAACTGCAATATCAGGTGCACGCTTGAGCTCTGGGCTTTACAGGTATGGCTGCACACTTAAGAGTTAATGCTAGCTGCTTTGGGTAGTATTACTTACTACTCTTATGTCCAGACTCTGCTAATTTTTGTTGTTGTTTTTGTTTTAAGATAGTAATTCTTTTAATACCTACAGAAAAGAGGCATAAATAGCTATAGAGTTCAGTTTCATTCCCCAAATTATTTGTAGTTAAAGTCAGCTGGAAATTTAGCAGGCATTATTTGTAACTATGAATGGGGAACATAAACATTTATGTGACCTTGGCATTCATATCACAATTAACTATAAATTCTGACTCAACTCAAAATTACTTACAGTTTTTATGAAAGCCTCTATATGCTTACACTTCACAAGACTAACCAGAAAACCATCCAGAAGTTAAAATTGCCATAAGGAAGATTTGTAACATGAAAGGTGTTTCTAAGGACAGCTATTAAAAAAATATTCTGACAGAAATACACAGGA